AACGGCCTGCGTGTACCTGTGTTAACGTCGATGCGTCGGAAAGGCACGTTGCCTGTTTGGATGGCTGAAGCGAGCTTGCGACGGCGGTTGTGGTGTGTTCCCCGCCAATGCCCGTCGCGCCACTGACGTCATCGTCGCCGCCCGCGGTGCTGTACGCCCCCCCCTGTTCGACGGGAAGCGGGGAGGGCCTGTCCAGTTTCCCGGCCGCGGTCGTAAAAAGGATGTAGATGGTTTCGTAACAGGAACGTTTTTCTTGATAGAAAGCCCTTGTTTTTCTATAATTTTTGCCGCTTTAATTTTTTCTGATAGGTTGGCACCGAAAAGCGTCTCATCATGATTATTTTCGATAACGTTTAACAAAGATTTATCCAAACTAGGTGTTAATAATCTAATCCTAGTTTCTGTATTTTGATAGTGTAAATCACATAAAATACGAGATGCATCTGACAATACCTTTATTGACTGTATTTGATCACCACCGGTTAGTAATAACGTCAATGCCCTGTTAATGGCAGTAATACCTATACCTAATTGTTGTTGACAATTTTCAAATTTTTTATCTCGTGTTTTAAGTGATTCAGTAATAGCAGCCGATATTTCAGCGTTTAACGAAGGCGCCTTTAATAATTTACAATTACTTGGTATTATATACGGCTTAAATATAACATCTCGTGTATCCTTTGGCAAGCCCTTACGCAGTAATGGCAGCCACCTTTGCGCTAAGTTACTATGGATTTCCTCTCCATATTGCGGCACCTCATCGACGGCGTCCCCGAGAGCTTGCAAGTATTCGAACGTTAGTTCTGGATGCGATGCAACCTCTGGAGTCCCCGTTTCAACCTGGGGAGTATCTACAGCTTCCATCCTAATATCACGTTCCATTATCTCGTCGTCTATTAATACAGCGCGTGGTAAACTACCCTCGTTTTGGTTATATTGCGATTGCGTTTCGACATCTGCAATACAAATAAAACATGTTTTAACATGTTTGTTACGTCTTGACATTTGACTCTCGGCCAATATTCAAGAACGTATTCCTTTGTTTAACTCTCGGCTAAACTCAGGAAAAAAAATACATAATATTATGTATGCGTATAAATATATTGACTCGCAGTCACACTTATATTGCGTAACAGTAACCTTACTGTCACTTACCTGAATTTTCATCTGATGACTCAGACTGTATAATTCTACGACGTATACTCCTTCGATTATTTATTTCGTTTAGCTTTCTAATTTTCTCTGTGTAATATTTAAGTTTTTCACCCTTAGTTCTCTTCGGCATTATGAATATGTACTCCTTTACTAGTTTTCTTAAACACTTATTACTGTTAATAGTTGAGCGCGTGCGAACGTTGCCTCGCAAGAAAAAAGAATGAGACATGAACAGAGCGCATTACGGAGGTAGACGTAAATATGGCAGGTACGGCTACCCTCTAAAATTCTTTTTTATTTTTATTAATCTGGAGATAAATAGATACTCTAAAATATGCGAAGTTGCCTTGTTGGATAAAAGGACTACCTGGTTAATTATATCTGAAGAATGAAAAAACGTCATATAATTTAATATACTACTATTACATAACTATACTTAAAACCAATATTGAAATGTGAAACTCAAAGATTCACATTTTTGTACTCTGACAAAGATTTACGTACATTCTAAATTACCAGGCTCTCGACTGGTCGTAGATTCTATGCCATTGCTTGTCCTGATTTATCCTCTCAACGTGAGTCGGGTTAATCTCCCTATATCGAGGTCGTCTTTACTCCTTGAGTCTATATAAGTATCTACCTTATATACTTAGGTATACATATGTATATGTATGTAAAAAGGAATTATACTTATTTCTATTGCTATCAAAAGAATGGGGATAGTTATAATTACCATATATTTTCTTAGTGCTCGACGCGCTTGGTAAATTGTTCAATAAAACTTTATATATATATATATATATATATATATATATATATATATATATATATATAATCATTTTTTCTAATACTGTGTAACCTGTATTAAAAAAATAAACAATTATTATAATGAGTATAACAATGTCCCATAGTAGCCCCAATACCCATAGTGTATTTTTATAAGTTGTCTGTCATCGAGAAATTATCACTGTCAAACTATTTTCAGCTAATTAACTAGTCTGTATAATCTAAGAAGCTATTTTTGATAAAATTCTTTAAGTTTTTTTAATTGGAGCTATAAATGATTTGGTAAAGTAATTTAAAATGATCCTATAAATAAATATAACTTATATGACGTTTGTCTCCATAAATGTGACCACCTGTGACAAGGAGGGGGAGGGTTCAAAATATCATTAAATTCGTGTAAACCTAATTTATGGATGGCCCAATATTTGAATGATTTAGTTGTAATTACATTATATATATATTTTTAAGGCAGTGGTAGCCCAGTGGTAACGCGCTCGATTGGGAAACCAGTGAAGCTAATTCAAATCCCGTGTCTCGCACCTCTGATATTTTCATGTGCGAATCATTTCCAACATGATTACCACTTGTCTTAACGGTGAAGGAAAACATCGTGAGGAAACCTGCATGTCTGAGAGAACCTAGCAAGTTTTCAAAAGACATGTGAAGTCCGCCAATCCGCACTTGGCCAGCGTGGTGGACTATGGCCTGATTCCCCTCGTGCTGAAGGGAGGACCGTGCCCAGCAGTGGGACGTTAAAAAGGGCTGAATACATACTATATTTTTTTAATTAATGATATATAGGTACGTTCTAAGTAAATAGACAAACTATTACTGTTATCGATGGCTAGTAAATTAAAAAAAAAATCATTATTACATAAATATTTCCATAAGTAAAGGAATGTTTTCAAGGAAAAAAAAACAACAGATTGGTATCATAATTTATTTACGTATTCCATTTAATTTACAATAAATAAAAAGAAACAAATTTTTAATTAACTATACTTTATAGTTAAAAAGATGATTTCGTGCAAAAAATTGACATTACCTTAAGTGAAACACAGCCATAGATTAACGCCTACATTTTATACACATTTTAAAACACCGTTAGGTCACAAAAATGTTCACGAAGATTAATTAGTAAGGCTATAAATAAACAATATTATGAAGCATAAAACAATTTTATACATAAATCATTTGATTCTTGGCCTTGTACTCAATATTACTTCTCACTCACCATATTAGGAAATATTATAATTTTTTGTTAAATTATATTGTCTCTAAATAAACATATATAAGTTACATAAAAGTTCTTTATAAGCTGCAAAAGCTAATAATAATTAATTATAGATATTTTTTAACTGGCAGTTCTAGTTTCATTTACTATCATCATCTCATAGAATCTATGGTTCTAAATACAAGAAGTTGATAAAATAAAACATTAGAAATAATATTTTCAAATTATTTACATTATAAAAATAATATTAACTAACTCGAATGCGTATTAAAAATTATAATTTTGGCACATTTAAGTAAACAGCGATTTGAAGTTCTCCCGTAGAACCGTTTTCTAGATAAAATATGACCTATTTTCAGTGACCTGTGCAATATCGTATGATAGACTGTTATGGCGACAGCTGGCGACAGATTTGAATAACGAAATGTATGATGTACACGAAAATGTAAAATCCATCGCTAGAAATCTTGTCGTATTTTTTGCAGAAATGCGTCATTAAAATAATTTTGAAATATTACTTTAGACAGAGAAAGCATGCTTCTGATATGGTCATGGATATAATTTGATCAGCATGCAATTAATATTTTATAATCAAATTTTTTTTATTCAATATTGGTATTTCAAGAAACAGACGTATTGTTTATCAAAAACCTGCCCAGAGTTCTGATAATAATTACCGAAAGAAATTTAGCAGAACCATATTTTCTTTAATTTGTATATTATGGATATACAGATATTTGTTCCACGACGCGATTGAGCGTCTCCGAAAGTATATATTTTCCGCGTTTGATATACAACGATTTGACAAGTTGCTTTTATATTGGTTAACTTGGTGGATATTTAGAATGACACAGTGCCTGAATGCAAAGATTTAAGTAACGAGTCCCTGTATTTTTTTGACCACATTTCTTGAAAAAAAAACCGCCTCTATTAAGGTATGTATAACATATTTGAGAAAGAATTACACAAAATTATTTTAAATTAGATGAAATAATAAAAAAAGTTAATCTTTTAAATAAATAATAGATTAAAATTAACATTTGTTGATATTTACAACATTATTACCTAAAATAAAATAAATATTGTTTAAATAAGAAACTATATAACACTTTATTATATATTCGGAGTTAGCTTCGTTATGAATTTCATACTTTGCATATTTACATTTAACGGCTCTATGCAACAAAATCAAGCAAACTTTAAATTTACAACTCATTTTACTAGCTGTGGGTACAGTTGAGCAACTATGTGCTTTAATAAAAGTATATAAATATATTAATATCAAAACTTATTTATTTCCTCTCACAATTTAAACACAAATTTTAAAATTAATAAAAATAAAGTATGAAAATTAATCAAGTTTTAAATATTTATCATATCCGTTCCTGAACATTGAAACAGTGAAATTGTTTGTTAATTAACATACAAGAGAAAGTTTAGAAATTTCGAATAAATTATTTCAATCATGTTATATTTAATTACACTTTATTAATTTAGCTAATAAATTATTTATTTATATTACACATACATTTTGACAATATTATAATAAACAACATTTTGAAATGTACAAAAAATAATAACTCCATACAGTGAATCTGACCTACATATGTCTGTATCTATAGACTGAATTAAATTCATTTTATTTGTAGGTTATATTCGACATATCGCACACGTTATCATTCCACTATAGTCCAAGACTGAGCAAACAATTTTTGTTTTTAGTGCAACTTTGTTCGCTGGCTCTTAGTCTATGTTGGTATGTGAGGCCGATCGTTATCTACACTTATACTAATATCACTGTGAAATAAATTCAAACCAAGCCTCATAAGCTCACAAACTTTAATATTTCTCTAAAAGTCCAGATGAAAACAATCATAAAACTTTTATTGTTTTCAGCAAATGTACCTGCAACAGAATATTAGCATTCATAAAATATTTATAGTACATTTTTAACTTAGATTAATGTGAAATAAGAGAAACAAAGAGCACTAATTTAAAAACATAGTACACTAAATTATAATTAAAAGTTTTGATTGTGTTGTTTAAAATCTATAATAAATAAATATCCACTACAACTCAGTTGAGTATATTATGTGTTTCTCATAAATATTAGATGTATTCAGAAATGTTATTATTAAACCTCTAATTTCCCTGGGGCTGCTTAAACCGTTAACCTGCGATATTGTTCTATTGTACAGGAGGTACTTAGCAAGTGTTGTTCTACGAATGAACTTTATATTAAAATACAGTCGACTCGATTTCTTCATTACGTAATACATATTATAAATATGTAATATACGACTTATAGCACTGTGTTTGTATATTTGTTACTCTTTTACTCTGAAATGATTCGACAGATTTGGGTCAATTTAGTACCCAGACTATGACTTGAGTAACATACCCATATATATGTAGGTTACTCTTATACGCTAAGTCACTAATATTTATTAGAGCTTGAATGCCTGCTTTAACTTCATTTTAAATAGAATTTACTAGAACGGTCGTGCTGGATCTAACTCTAGATTTCGCACAGATGAAAAAATTTTTTCTGATTAGTTTTTATTTCATTTAGATATTTGACAGCATTTCATTCAGCATTTGTATTAGTATGGTGTACTATAGCTCTATACTGTTACAATTATTAAATTATAACGAAGTCAACATAGTGAAACAAATATTTTTAAGGTTCCATAGATACCCTAAGTACAAGTACTAGAAAATTGTAGGTCTTGAAAAGTCTAACAGAAAAGTCCGCAACATCATATTATATTTATCTCCTAAGGTATACTCGCAATAACTATTTTATGTACCTAGACACCCGAGCGAAACGAGGGTACATTGCTAGTTCTAAATGAACTCTTAATATTTATGGTTATCTTATAAAAGTTAGTAAATATTTTACTGCAAAAAATAAAATGTAAATTTCTAAGAAGATGATTAAAAAATATAAACATTATAAAATGTACACTTAGTAAAATGAAGAGGCCTACTTATTATTTCTGAGGCCTTGCCTTAGGCGTTTATCTTTCTATCAGACTTAAACATAACTCAATAAAATATTAATCAAGTTTCAAATTTAGTTTTCAAGCTTAAAGGAATATTTTGTTATTATCTTAACTCTGAATTTACAAAGTACATAAAAACATATCAGAAAATATGCTTTGGGCATTTAAATAACGGTTAAATATGATAAGAAAGTTGGTAACCATAATATTGTAGTAAAAGTTAAGAATTATGTTAAAATATGTTATATTACTTTTTTTTATTACAAAAAAATATTGTTTGTTTATTGTTATACTGTTTCAATCTATGGAGACTTCAACAAAGGAGGAATTCATACGACTGTGTATTAAACTTTGATTTTATGTTACGCGATATCTTCGCGAATTATTAATTAATAATAATAATTAATTAATTAATAATATGTTGGGACATTAATACAAAGTGCCATCTAGTTCCATAGTAAGCTACGAGGCTTGTGTTATGGATACCAGATAGTTGATACACTACACATATATAACTTTAAATACATACACATTATTAATATAAACACCCATGATCACAAAGGAGTACAAACATTCGTGATCATCACACAAATGAATACCCCCAGCGGGACTCGAACCCGCGACCGCTGGCACAGCAAGTAGGGTCACTATCAACTGAGCTAAACGTGTCGTCAAAATTATTATAATATTGAACATTACATCTTCTAGAGATTTTAAAATGTTAAAAATAAATTTAAAAAATGACTTTTGTAAGTAATTTTATCAAATTATGTCAAGCTTATATTTAATAAGTGATGGTATTCCAACTTAAGCAAATATCAATATGCCTTCCAAACTAAGATATGTGCTTATTTAATTACTGTGCGTTTGTACGTCTAATTGGTATGGTAATATACTCATATAACAATTTGCACACATATATACCTACACGTTAGCCACTTCAATGACAGAGTTATAATTTATCCATACTAATATAATAAATGTGGAAGTATGTTTGTTTGTTTGTCCTTCTTTCACGTCGAACAAAGAACACGACGACGACAAAGGCTACATTTTACGGCGGGAGATTATCTCATTCCCATGGGAAAACAGGTTATAACACAACCCAAAAAAAACGTTAATGATCAAAACTACTTGAAACTTGGTATTAATGCTCTTCAATACAAATAAATAAATACAGGTTTTAGCATTTTTCGAAATTCATCTCATAAGGGAGTAAATAGGGGATGAAAGTTTGTATGAAATCTACCTTTGAGAGTTTTTTTTTATAGTTTTAGCGCGAGCGAAGCCGCAGGTTCTGCTAGTTATTATAAATGTTTTACTTTTTTGAAACAAAATGATAAATTTAAGCGTAATATCAAGTATGTATTGATTATTAAAAAATTATAGGAGATATAGAAGAACCTAAAAATGAAAAAAAATTAAAAGAAATAAATATAGCATAATCAAAAACAAAACATTTAGAATTTTTAAAAGAAAAATCTGTATTTAAAATACCAAATTAAAAATTAAAATACAAGCTCAGTGCGGTGAGAGAGAAAGAGGAAGGCAGGGGATCGCCAAACCGAGTGGGAAGAGAGCCTCAGAGTTACGAGAGTACGGCGACTTGGCGACGCGTCGTCGGTTTGACCTGCCGCATTAGATTTCTTACATCAATATCTTTAGTACATACCTCTATTAGAAACATATTTCGATAGCTGCGTACGTGAATACACAGTGATGATAGTAGCAGTATCTCGCACTACAGGTGGCTCTACGGGTAGGGTAGATTCACATCGTATTCGTAAGGCGCCGCTTGCAGTAGACGGTACTGACACACGTAGCACTCTCCACGATGCGCGTAGACCCCCCGGTTGAGGCGCGCTAAGCTCCCTACGCTGCCATGGTTCAGTCTGTGAAAATATTCAATATATTGAAACTTTATAAACACTATATAAACAAAGTATGATATACCATCGTTTGATACTGTGAAAGTGTTGATCAGTGTTCTTTATAAAATTACTAGCAGGACGCGCGGTTTCGCTCGCACTAACACTACAGAAAAACTCTAAAAAAGTAGGTTTTATATCAACTTTCATCCGCTATTTTATCCCCTTATGGCATGAATATCGAAATATGCTAATACACGTATTTATTTAATTGTATTGAATAGTATTGATACCACGTTTCACGTAATTCTGATAGTAAATAATTTTTGGGTTGTATTATAACGTGTTCTCCCATGGGAATGAGATTATCAGCCCGCCAACTATCTCCACACAAAAAATCACGTCGACCGTCACTCCGTTACGACGTGAAAGAAAGACAAACCAATACACTTTATTATATTAAACCTTATTAAAACCTTTATTATATTAAAAAAGTATCCTTTGATTGATTTAAATTGCGCTTAATGCATACAATAGAGATATTTAAATTACTTCCAGATACAAAATTAGGTGAAAACGCTTAAACTTCAAGTAGTACTTAAGTTTTGTTATTTTAGCATAAACTAAACGTGCTGCAGTGTGAAACTACCTTTACAATATTCATTCTCAGGCACGTTTCGTTACACTATTAATGGTTAAGTTTGCTTGATTAGAACGAAAGCAGAGCGGAACTCTTCAGGAAGAACAATATTTCAAAACTCCGATATACAATTACCCTAGTGAGAGGCTCTTTTATATATTTAATTTATAATGTTTTTTATTCTTAATTTATATTTTAATTTTATAAATTTGAAGCAACGTAATATGTTTTGTTATTACTCGTATTTAGTAATTTTGTATAAAATTAACATATACTATACTTGTAAGTGGCTAACTCAAAATGTAGTTTTGATATGTTAATAATGCCTTTTATTAATTACTTACGCTAAGAATAATAATTATTATACAAAAAAATATTTTTTTAAGAAAAAATGTCGAAAACGCAAAAAGAATACATGGATTTTGTTTTAATATCGTTTGCCCTCGACTTTGCCCGTGTTCATTTATTTGTTCCGAGTCATTGCATGATATTGTACTTTAATTAAACTTTTAGTTCCAAATGCGTTCAAACAAACAAACTTTTCAATTTTATATATACACACATATTATGTGTACACAATAATATTAGGTAACTCGTTTCAATATTCACAAACTTCACAAACAGGTGTTAGTCTAAGATTGTTCTTGGACTTACCTACAACAACTTCTCGTATTTACAGTTGACGTAAATGTAAGTAATTCATAGCATATAAAATCCGGAAAATAATTTATATAAGCTATTTTTAAAGGTTAACAAATAGCTCAATTTACACCTACGAAATGAAAAAGTCGAAGATTGATCGATATCTATTAAGTATGTTTCAAATTAACAAAATCCCGTATAAACTTTTACCAAAACTTTTAAATACAGCCTTTGCATCTATTAATTAGCTTGCTATCACCACCTTTGCATCTATTTAAATATTAGCTTCACCATTCATTATGTAGTAGAGAGCTTAATATATGCAAGTCCATTAAAAACTTCAGGGTGAATCTACAATGTTAATATTTCTCTTTTTTCATATTGCATGAGCAGTAAAAGCATTGTAGTGTGTTAACATTCGCGGAGATAAAACAAGTGTTTATTTAGAGTAATACATGATTGCACATTTTAAACTTTTATGTTTTATGCGATTTTTTCGTTTTTAACATATTTTCTGTTAAAATAGTTAAATTTTTGAAGTACAAGCTTTAATAGCTTTAAATAATGGTGAATAACACTATATTGCTGTAATATATCATTTTATATGTATCTTTCCCGAAAAACGCCAAGTGGAGCTCGATCGCTCAAGTTTATTTCCATCTGAGTTAAGTGTTAGTTAGTAGTTAGTTGCTATTATTCAAGTTTTTGTTTATAATTAATATGCCAGGTTACTTATGATCATATCTGATCAGCACTATCTAGACTAACGAAAATGCTTGGTTCGATTCCATAGATGCGAACACTTGCTTATATTGTAACTTTTAAAAATATTTTAGCAACAAAATTGGAGCCTTATATGTTGCAAAAACTCCGAAAATTGATAAATATATTTATTATTAAGGTATTATTTGACCTGGAATCATAATAACGGTTTATGATGTAGTCTACCTATGATATTCTCCTAGCCGATTCCGGCTACGGCGGCCAATCTCATTGAGATTAGCCAACTGCGCAGGAGATATTATAGTGCTCAAGTGTACGCGCAGACACAAGTGCACTCTCTATTCCTATCACTCTCATACTCCGGTGGGACGACCACTCGACACGACCGGTGAGGGTTAAGGCGCAGGACCGACGGCTTTACGTGCTCTCCGAGGCACGGGGGTGAAACATACCATTTATATTTCAAGCTTTTAACTGATAAAATAGACTATCTTTAATCATATTATTTCCCTTTCAATTCGCAGTTCATAATAGTGTCCGGAGTCGTATAATAGCATTCAATTTATTTCAACAAAGGCGCTCTATCAAGATACGCCGAAATGTCCTTCCACTTGTATATCTTAGACACTAAATAAACATTTAAAATATTTATTAACAAAATATACTATTATTCTTTATTGTTTTAATATGTAATTCATTATTATTTTGTAATATACTAGCGTTTTCCTGTGGCTCCGCCTGCATAGTACATTAATCACCAACATTATTATCATATACTAAAACCTCCGAAACACGCTGCATCTTATAGTATGAGTATATTTCCGTTCGGTTCAGTAGTTATCGCAGTATAAACGAACAAAAAAATCGGCTCTCCATTTATTAGTATAGATATAATACATTTTGAAGTAAACGTTAATTAAATTCAGTGTATTTTGTCTCAAATATTTTATGTCTATAATTATTTCATGATATTCAATGAAATATATACAATTAACTTAGTGCGTATGGTGCGTGAAGGCAGTGGTAGACCAGTGGTAACGCGCTCGCTTGGGAAACCGAGTGAAGCGGGTTCAAATTTTGGGTCTCGCACCTCTGATATTATAATATGCTATTCATTTCTAACATGATTACCGTTTGTCTTACGGCGAAGGAAAACATCGTGAGGAAACTTGCATGCCTGAGAGAACTTTACAATTTTTAGAAAGTCGTGTGCAGTCTACCAACCCACACTTGACCAGCGCGGTGAAATGGCCTGATCTTGTTCGTAATAACAGGAGGCCCGTACCCAGCAGTGGGACGTTAAAAAGGGCTGAATTCGTCTTAGAACGCTACGTTGTAGTAGCGATTTCAAATATTTAGCAATAGAACATGTCCATTGTTCAATAAAAAATATAACTGTTATTTTGCTTATCTATTATTTGTTTTAATAATATAGCTAAACTAGCATTGCACGCGGCTCCGCCCGCGGTCAGATGACCAAAAACAAATTCTTAGATGTTACATATTAGTATACTCTCACATTGCAGTTTTTCTATTTTTTCTCAGAAATGAGATTTATCTGCGGTATAAAGTATCCTATATATTGACCCGGATAACCAGCTATCACCATACCAAATTTCATCGAAATCCCTCCAGTGGTTTTTCTGTGATGCGGTAACAGACAGACAGACAAAAATTCTAAAAACTATAGATTCAGCCTCTGTATTGATAATAATGTCTATTTCAATAAGATTTTCCAAAAAATATTTAATGTACAGAATCGGCTTGGTTACAATTTTATTATATGTATAGATAATTCATTAATAAATAATCTATACCATAACTCAAAATATCTCATAAGTAGTAATAAAGAAGATAAAATTGCAGATACTTTAAAATACAATTTAGTACATAATGGTAGAGCACTTTGCGAAATATATTAAGCATTTTAAAGGCCGTTAGTGAAGATTTAAAGTGGCTCGACTGCTAAGTCTCAACAATGAGCTCAGTAATGGGGAACAAAACAAACGCGAAGTTAGTATAAAGGTTCCCGGGTGTAAACTACTCGTATAAATAATACGCCCATATGTACATATAATGGGTGCCTGACCCGTCAAATAGGATAATAAATTTGCTAAATCAAAATTATGTATGAAATTTTATTTTAAACTAGAAATAAAATGAGTATTTTCTTCTCATTTCCTTTAGACAAACGTTAGTTTTACTGAGTGGCTTAGTGCTTATTTTAATTGGTTAGGTTATGGGTTCGATTATTACTTACAATTTGCAAATATTTTACTGACAATGTTGCTTTTTTTTAAGTCAGAGAAAGGCAGGCGTTGGGAAATTAAAGAACGCGACTGTATTCACTCTGACAATCTTATACTAAAAATATATTCTTTAAAGTAATTTACATAATAAAATACATTAATATTTTTTATAATTTAACTATACTTCATATGAAATAAGAACATATTATAATAGTCTTTGTGTCAGAAGCATAACGCGACGACATAAACAGTGTCTGCCATAAGCAGTTACAAGACGATTTGAAAAAAAGTATTTTTATTTTATTCAGTACTGTAACTAAATTATTTATTTCAGATTGTCGTTTTATGAATAATTTAGTGACAATAATTATATTAAAAAGCTTGCTCGGTTGAATAAAAGCTATACGTTTTGAAATTTGGAAATCATAAGTTGAAGGAAAATAAAGAAGTTATAAGCTCACCGTCGCTTCGCTCGGGTTCGCCTCTAGACAAACAAAAACAACTTATCCCACGGGAACCGTACATTTTTACGGAGTAAAAATCTACAATCTATCTCTCTGCCAGATTTCATCCAAATCCTTTCAGCCGTTCTGGCGTGATTGAGTAACAAACATCCAAAAATCAATCTAAACTTTTACATTTATAGTATTAAGAAGAAGTAATGTAGGATATAAAATGAACTTGTCAGGAAAATATTGTTTAAACGTACATCTAACTCAAATAATAAACGAAAACTTTATAGCATTTTAATATCTCTTTCTTCCCTTCTTTTTATCTTTTAACTTTGTAGACTACGCCTATAAAAGTTTTTATAGTTAAATTTTTCACATTTTCAACAAGTCAACAAAATTGAAATATATTTTCAAAGTACTTTGCTGTAAATTTACTTAAAATTTTATCATAGTTATATTTTTATTATTATATATTTACGCTATATTATTAAGGTAAGTCAAATTTTTTTATTGAAAATAATAACTGTGTGTATCATGTGGACTCATAAAATAAAATATTTTATAAAAAAAAAAAATTATTTATATTTATAGAGGGTTTTTTCACAAGGCGAAAACGTCACCCTCATCATTGCTTATAAGTACATATATATTAAAATTATAAGATTTAAAAATTGCAAGCACAAAATCTATATATATAAAAGAAAGTCGTGTTAGTTACACTATTTATAACTCAACAACGGCTTAACCGATTTGGCTGAAAATTGGTGGGGAAGTAGCTTAGACCCAGTAGACGGACATGGGATACTTTTTATCCCGTTCGATTGCGTTCCCGTGTGACGTGACATAAAACTCAAGAACGGCTGGACCAATTTTTATGATATTTGAATTTTTGGATTTCTCTTAGTCCGGAATAGGATAATAAGTATTAAAACATCAGAAAAATTAATGAAAATTATATGGCTAGCGCTGGCTAATAACTATTTATCTCTACTTAAAAAGTACCTAGCGACGAACCCGAGCGAAGCGAGGGTGAGCCGCTAGTATGAAAATAAACAAATAATTCAATGTTTGTTTTTGAAGTAAACTTAGAACTTTTGTCCACATACTTATCCTTTATTTCATTAAACATAATATGTTTTATGTAAGATAAATAAATAAATAAAATAATTAATTTAAAGTGGATTTTAAAGTCACTGTAATTTTTAATTAAAAAGTAATTATATATCTATTATCAACAAATTAAATTGTTCGGAAAAATAAATTACTTAGAAAACCTGTTAAAGTAAACACAGGAATGGTGTCGGAAGCAGTGAATATGCAATTGTTTAATTTGCCCATTGAATTGCCGACTAAGCTCAATCACAATAATTGATAGTACCTAATCCAGTCAGATTGGATTCCTGATTCCATTAGGAAAGCAAGAGAGCAAACAGTTAAATCGAGTTAGCTATTTCTTGAGTGCACTGCCTACTACGATAGCATTATCGATTTTCAGGCATTTACTCCATTTGATTATAGATAAACACTATTGATATCCATATCCATATTTTTTACTAATATTATAAATGTGAAAGTGTGTTTGTTTGTTTGTTTGTTTGTTTGTTTGTTTGTTTGTTTGTTTGTTTATCCTTCTTCACGTTGAAATGGAGTGACACATTGGCGTCATTCTTTGTGTGGAGATAGATGGAGGGCTGGAGAGTGACATAGGCTACAATATTTAAAGACTATTTATGATCAGAATTACTTGAAACTTGGTATTGATCTTAATATTGATGAGTATTTGGAAGTGAAAGAATGATTAAAATCGCTTTAATCATTCTTGTGAGGGAAAATATTTTATATTTCAATAAAGCTAGAGTATAGTATAGTGTAAGAGAGTTACATAAAATAGTTTTTAGATTCAAAACGTATATTTATAAATAAGTAAACTCCGTATCACCGTTTACTAATGAGGGGTGGTATAAGGAGGTCATAACTAGTTGTTTCAAGTCCGAGTTTTGTATAAAAATAAAAATTCCAGCTTCGTATTTTATAATGAGCACATTTTGTTATTAGCACATATCAAGGTAGTCACCAAATGAAACCATGTACCAGCAACATTTCTATTTTCTTTTGTCTCATTTTCTAGGTAACGCTTATATTTTCTTGTATTATGCTATTTTATATCTAAACAATATTCGTTTTAAAAATTCTTCTTATTTATTTTTCTACAGAACTTTAACATACTATGCAAAATACCTATTATTTGTTCAAAAAATTAGGTACTAATACAATGTAATAAAATTGAAATTTTGTATCTTAAAAATTTTTATGCTTTTATCTGTCGAAATTTGTGTACAGACAACTCTAGCTAACATAAAACTATTTCATTGAAAATGTGGAATGGGATTAGGTATATTTCGCTTGACGTAATATAACTTCAAACAACATAAAATCAGAGCTACCAAGCCATAAACGGTGGTGGGCTATGAAAATTGAATTTTGTTAAAGGAGATGAATTACATAAGTCTAACAAACATGAAAAAAGTTATGTTTTAAAGTTTTAAGCTTACAAAAAATAATATTTTAAAGTAGACAAATGCCTTTTTTCGAGACATTTTAATTATTTAAAGAAAATTATATATTGCATCGAAATATGCTGTATGTTTGTCTGGTACTGCCAACTTCAGTGGTAGTCATGAGTTTAATTCCACTGATGATTTTAGGTTATTTATTGTTGAAAATGCTTAAAGATAAAATGTTTTTGTGCTATTTGTTAAAGGCTTCCCAGCACTTATTAAATCATTTAATCATGGAAATGGTATAAATCTATACTAATATTATAAAGAGGTAGGTTTGTGAATTGTGAGTTTGTGATGTTTTAGGGGGTAATCTCTGGATCTACTGAACCGATTTAGATGTAATTTGGTAAGAAGATAGTTTGAAACCCGAGGAAGAACATATTATCCCGGAAATCATCCCTTAAGGGGGTGAAAATGGGGATAAAAGTTTGTATGGGGAAACAAACTAGGGACGAACCCGAACGAAGCGAGGGTGAGTCGCTAGTCTATAAATATCGGTATGCTGAAATGTGATCAGCCGTTAATCAAATGTAGCAAGTAGCTACTAGTACAGATATAAGCTAATGTATTTATGTTGTCTACATTAGCCTAATCTTGTAAGCTTAAGATAATTGATTCCTAATTGAATCAGCGTAACCGATTGTATATTCCTCAATAAAGAAAAAATAATGTACATTTAAATTATATATATATATATATATATATATATATATATACATTTATAGTAGAACTAGCATTGCCCGCGGCTCCGGCCGCGTTCAGATGACCAAAAATCAAATTCTAAGATTTTACATATTAGTATGCTGTTACATTGCAGTTTTTGTTTTTTTTTTTCTCAGAAGTCAGACATTTTCCCGTGATAAAAAAGTATCCTATATGTTGACCCGTATAACCAGCTATCACCATACCAAATTTCATCTAAATCCCTCCAGTGGTTTTTCTGTGATGCGGTAACAGACAGACAGACAAAAATTCTAAAAACTATAGATTCGGCCTCTGTATCGATAATAATGTTTATTTCAATAAGATTTTCCGAAAAATATTTAATGTACAGATTCGGCTTAGTTACAATTTTATTATATGTATAGATATGCATGTACGTATTTACGTAGCATGTTTAAAACTGTTTTTTTAATAATTACATACTTAGATTCTGCTGTTTTATAAGGCAGAATCGGATGTTTACTTTATTTGAAGCCACTTGGTGAATCTTTTTAACATCCAGACATAATATTCTCTTGTTCTGGTTTCAGTGTAAGCGCAGTTAAACATTCAATATTCAAATTCCTATGTGCTGAGTTACCAAGTTTTTCTTATCGAGTTCTCCATTTTCCTTTCTATACTCAGTTAATAGAAATTCAATACAATTTTTTATTTTAATCAAGTGGCGATAAATTAAAACATACTGTAGTTGCACCCAGCAACTTTGAACTAGGTCCAGACCTCTAAACTAGACCAGTCATGTATGTTGTACTAGTAAGTATATAAAAAGTTTTTTTTTAATAGTAATACGAATAGTAATACGTACCTTTGCAAGTTCATTGTCTATGTACCAATTAATATCAGACGGTGGCAGCGAGTAGTCGGACGTGCAGTTCAGGAGTATTTGCTCTCCGGGCTTCACTAATTTCGGAGCCCCAATTATTATGGGGTCCTTATCTGGCATCGCTGCAAGGAAAATGGATTTCAGTACGAAAATTAATACAAATGTAGTTTTGAATTCGGTAACGAGTACCAAGTTTATAACGAGTTAGATTGCCTTCGGGTGTCCGCAATTTGCTTCGTACGAAAAATCAGGCTACTTTCATGTCCTTTGCCAGTATTATTACGAACTGATGTTAAAATTAATGGGAGATGCTGCTTTTTGGTCATTATTATCTTTATTTAATATATTTTTTTAAATTTAATAAGAATATTAAAAACATTTACATTTCTTTGATAAATTTGACGTGAAATCAAAAGTATAAAAAAATTACGTATAAAGTTATATTATGATAATATTTGGAAAATTTATATCATCTATATAAATAAAAATGAATGTTGCTAAGCGCAAAACTCGATAACGGCTCGACCAATTCAGCTATTTTTTTTCGTATGTTCTTTATGGTACACGGAAAGTTTTAATCAAGAAAAAACATATAAAATAAGGTAAATATACTATACATAAAACTAAGTCATGTTAGTTACATCACCACCAATTTTTATGATATTTGATTTTTGTTAGTTTTCTCATAGTCCCAAATATGATAATAAGTATTAAAACATCAGAAAAATTAGCGAAAAAAAAGAATTTTTTATGGCTAACGCTGGCTAATAACTATTTATATCTATTTAAAACGTACCTAGCGACGAACCCGAGCGAAGCGAGGGTGAGCCGCTAGTATATAAATATAAATAAAACTAAATCGTTTAACCGTAATAGAATATTAGATTTAATTTATGTATTATCACACAGAAATATACTTCAATATAGCTAGAGCTGTACATTTACATGTGAGTATACACTTCTATGGCTTTTGACAAAGCACCAATTCAATCGATATCGAAATCGCACACGAGACCTCATATTTATCCAATTCAGTGCCGACGTGTTCCATCCTGAGCACGTGATATTATGAACTAGCCGACACAAGAATATGGAACGAAAATAGTTATGTACATAGTAACAAAGGTAGTTAGAAGCAGCAAAGGGTTAAATTTTAACGAAGGCAACGTGATGTTAATTTTAAGTTATTTATTAAAGAAATTTTATTTGTATCAATATCTTTTTAAATACTTTAAGCACGCACAGTAAACGGTAACATCATAAAATAACTTTTGGGTAAAAAAGCTTAAACAAACTAGAAACTTTAGAAACACGCACTTACACTAGAACATACTAATTTCTTCGGAAAAAAAGAATTAAAGCCATTGGCCACAAATCACTACGGTTTTCGCTTACATGATACCAGATGCGACATGATACAAATGTAAGCAAGAAAAACGAGTTAATGAACCCATTTCGCTTTGTTCTTCTTTTCCGCATATATATATTAATTCACTCGTATTAACCCTTTACTGCTGATAATTGTAAAAATACATGAAAATATCTATATATCAAGTCATGTACAATTTTGCTGGCAGTCTCAGGTTTGATTCCCGCGCAAAGTATTTTTATATTAACTAGATATAATAAAATATATCCCAATTTAGGTAACATAAAGCACAGAGTTAGATTAAATTAATTTCTCAACAAGCACGTATTAACTAGTTTTTTCTCCCTTTCTTATCCGCAAGGGGGGCTCCTGAAAATTATACTTCAACATTTTGTATAAAACAATCTTTTCGGATTTTTTTCACGGATTTATTTTGTTTTTTGGTTTCCAAAATTTCGAATGTTTTACAGAAATCATAATCATAGTAGTAATGGGGCATATTTTGAAATGTGTATGTTAATAAGGCTATCACATTATCATACAAAGTAAAATAATTTTTAAATAATTGATGGATCCCTATAAATAAAATAAACTACCAAAATACGAAAGTAATATGATTTTATTGTACCAATCAAATAAATGGTATTTCTTCCCCCCATTCACGAATAGATTTAAAAGATAAGTAACAAAAGATCCTGGGGGTCGAATAAAGTTTCGTTGTTCAAATTAGCTGAAGTGCGGGATGTTACCTAAATCGTCGGGAACTTGCCGATTAAGATAATCTTGTAACGGAACTCCAGTAACATAAAGCGCTTTGGTGTGGAATAGTGGGAATGTGAACGTAATTAAAGTTTTAGGTACGAGCCGTTCTAGTTGGAGTCAAAAGCTCCGCATTACTAATTTACGTTAAAATAGAGCACTAAATAACGCAAAATAAAGTTGTTGTTGAATTGGCTTTCGTGGAACACCTAGTTTACACGTTTACAAGTAAATATTCAATTTCAACGGATTGTTTTACATTAGTTTATGCAGAATAGTTTATATTCGTCCATTATAATACCGAAAAGTTATGAAAAAATTTATGGGTGGATATTTAATATGGCAAGTACAGCGGCTTTAGTTGTAAAATGTAGGTGTCATCTATACATATAATACAATTCGAACTGAAACGAATCTGTAGATTCAATTTTTTTTTTGGAAAATCTAACTGAAATAGTCATTATTATCAATACAGAGGCCGAATCTATAGTTTTTAGAATTTTTGTCTGTCTGTCAGTCTATCTGTGACCGCATCGCGAGAAAACCACGTCTTTTCGTGAATTTTTCGTTTTTTTTTTCTTTATTGAACCCTTCTGTGGACCTTAAGAAACATACGAAAAAAAATTGCCGAATTGGTTCAGCCATTTTTGAGTTATGCGCTTACTAACATTCATTTTTATTTATATAGATATATAATCAGTTTAAAAACAAACCAAGTCAGCTTATTATTATAAGCCGTAATTGTGTTATAATTTATCATATCATAATTTTACTATCAATATAAGGTATACTTAATTTCAAAGTCCAACTAACAGGTTTCTAAAATTCTAGTTACTACATAAACTCCTCTAAAATCCACAATATTCTACAATTTAAACATTTACATATTCATGAACTATCTGATAAAAGCAAAACTCAACGTTCGACTATCATAAATTTAGAGCTTACCATCGCGTATACATACTCGTATTACTTGTAGTGGGTTTTTTTTTATTTTTTTTAATATATTATTTACTAAATAATAATAGTTATATATAACGTACGTTTCAAGTTTATTTTTAAAGCCCTACTAATATACTACTATCTTATTATTTTTTCTCTCAAGAATGACTTTACAGATTTTAATGAGACTCTAAGAAAACTCTAAAGAGAAACTCAGAGCTGTATTTTAAATCCTGGATTTATACCCGGTAGGTGGCGCTGCAATCGTTGTGCTACTGATCATCTAAACGGCAGGGACGATTTTAATGATATTTTTTAAACAATATATGGTAATAAATTTTCACTACAATAATTTCTTATAGCGAGTAAATCAGCAAATTAAGTTTATAGTAAATACATACATTAACTTTTAGATATCCAAGGATTTTCTTAGAATACGTTACATATAAAATAAATAAACCAAAAATCAATTTCTGTACTTACCGACTACAGTCATATGTTTAGTTTGTCTTGCTATCTGAAACTTTGGGCCTTCTGTGGAAACTTCGCAAGTATATGCCGCTCTCGTCGCAATCGGCGGGGGCATCACACGCACCATACACGAGTCTGTCTGGCAGTCCCCGCCTTGTACCATAATCCCAGTTACATTGAACAGACGGATGGGCACCTGCACAGAAGTATTTAAAATTAACCTTATTAAATAAAACTATAATTTACTAGAATTGCCTGCGGCTCCACTCGCGTTCATAGGGCCAAAAACCAAATTCTTAGGTTTTATAGTATACTCTTACTTTGCAGTTTTTGTATTTTTTTTCAGAAAGGAGACATTTTCCTGCGATAAAAAGACAGACAAAAAATCTAAAAAGTATAGATTCGGCCTCTGTATCGATAATGTTTATTTCAATAAAATTTTCCAAAAAATATTTAATGTAAACGTAAAAGATACGGCCTACTTACAATTTTATTATAATAATGTATAGATTTATCTTAAATGAATGTAGAATTGTAAAAAATGATTATAGTATTATTTTTGTAATTTTATTTATTACTTCAAGCTGCGTTTAACAGAAACCTATGCTGATCCATAAACGGACACGTGTCATAATCTGTTACAATTTTAAATTTCACATACCTACTTCATCTGTGGTATAGAATAATTAATATTTTTGCAAGTGAATAAATTCCTTCGAAACCCTCTCAAAATGCCTTGTAAAATAAGAAAAAGCTTGTAATATTTCTGCGTGAAAGGAAAAATTATAAAGTTCTAACAAATATTTTATCAGTAAGATTCTAAGTCTTATATACTATATGTAAACTTAGTTTACGACATGTATTAAAAGTCAATATTGTAGTCGAATTAAAGCTCAATACCACTTTTTTAAAATATTAATAGTTATTATTAGTAAAATTTTTATTATTAAATAAAACTATCTTTTCGGATTATTTCGCGGATTTATTTTGATATTTGGTTCCCGATGTTTCGAATGCTTTACAGCATCCATGGTCACGGGAGAGACTGAGGTGTTACATGTCTTGAAGGTATAGTTGTTACAGACAGCCTACCCATAATTAACAAAATGAAAAATGCACCAATTACATTACAATATTTCTAACTTTAAAACATTTTTATAATTTTAATTATAATTGAATATGGAAAATTATTTATTTAATTTTTGCAATTATTTTTATAATTATTACAATTTTAAAATATTAATTAGTAATCTATATTTTGTGTTGCCATTATTATATTTATAACCATAAAGAAAAATATAAAATATAGTATTAATTATTTAAGCCATATAATTGTTCTATGTGTAATTTAAAAAGTTAAAATTAATTAAGGATAATAATTTTAATTTAGTTTGCTATTATTTAAAAGCAACTTACTAAGCAGCACTATTAATATATACTTTTACATTTATAGTAAAATTTTTGTGTATTTTTAGTAAAGCTTTATCGTTGAACTAATGTTAAAGTAATAACGAATAGGTAGTTGATATAAACTACATATTCGTTTAGCAACATTGTACGTGATATAGCTTAATAGTGCTGCTTTTAAAGCTTTTTAGTTATTAGCAATAAAAGCTTATTAAAATTTCTAGGTAATGTATAAAAAACTATACAAAGTAAATGTTTAATTTATACAAAACTCATTACAATTTCCACAGTATGTACCACGCGAACTCACCACACGTGACTTAAATATTAAATTGACGACACGTTTGGCTCAGTTTGTAGTCACCCTACTTGCTGCGCCAGCGGTCACGGGTTCGAGTCCCGCTGGGTGCATTCATTTGTGTGCTGAGCACGAATGTGTGTACTCCAGTCATGGGTGTTTATATTTATAATATGTATGTATTTAAAAGTTATATATATATATATATATATAATGTATCAACTACTGGTATCCATAACACAAGCCTCGTAGCTTACCATGGAACTAGATGGTGTTGTGTGTAATGTCCTGACATATTTATTTATATAATGCTACAAATAACATACTGCCATGACCTAATATAGGTATTATTAGGTCGTTTTGGATTATTTATTATAGGTTAGACCTACTTTGATATTGCGAATAATTTTTTAGGTATTAAAGTTACAATCAAAAGCGTAATACGTTACATAATTATATAATTTCAACTTGTTTCGTGTTATTGCATACTTAACTAAATAAACTAAATAAACTTTTGACGACACTGTGCTCAGTTTGTAATGCTGTGCGCGCAGTCGCGGTTTCGAGTCCCGCTGGGATCATTCATTTGTGTGATAACCACGGATGTTTGTACTCCAGTCATAGGTGTTTATATTTATAATATATATGTATTTAAAGTACATGTGTAGTGTATCAACTGTGTGGTATCCTTAGCACAAACCTCGTAGCTTACCATGGAACTAGGTGGTGTCGTGTGTGAATGTCCCAACATATTTAAATTGAATTTATTTCACTTAAGTCGATAGGTATATCAGTTATCACCAAAAAAATCTTGTGGTATAGATAAAGAGCGATGGGAGCGAGACAAAAAGAGAACGTAGCGACAGTTTGTCTTCAGTTTTCAACATATGTATTAATATACCGTGGAAGTACCAAACTGTATGTAACTTTTTATCGGTAGACCATAGTTTCAACAACATATTTTACACGACTCGGTGAAATCCCCTCGCAAACTAAGAGAGTTGCGTTGCAAATAAGAAAATTATAATATCATTGAGCGTTTAAAATTGTATATTAGTGAAAAGAAAGGGAAACTTTAATTTATTTTTTTATCATACGATTTTAATCATAATGCTTATACAAATTAAATTTCAAATTTTACTAGATAAAGGACTTAAGATAACATATAATTTTTTTCTTCTTATCTTCGTTCAATAAAAACATAACACAGAAAGTGAACCCGCTGGAATCTTAGTGTGAGTCAGATATATACACAGAGTGAGGTACATGCCATGACGGTTCTATATAAACTAATACTATTATAAAATATTAAAAAAAAAAAGTATATCTCTGATTTAGATGAACATTTATGCCAGTTTAATACGTAAACGCCTATCAAAACGTCATAAGTTGGCTGTTGATACATCAAAAGGCTAGCTAGCATGTTAAAATATACTAGTTGAAAGGCCAGTAAACATCAAAGTTACCTTCTGTGAGGGGTTATATCTGAATATCTCATTCATATCCCTATACCACTTGACGGAGTGTAGTCTCTGATCGTCCATTCGAAAGTGACAGCTCAACTCCGCTGCCCGTCGAGGGTCCGCGTACAATGGGACCTTCAGTTGGGTGATTTCGTGTGCTGATGTTATAGCTGAAACAAAATATTTACGTTACTAAGCGAACATATTATGTTATAAAGTAAATAAGTGATAGATTTTTTTTAGTGCGTTTATTCTTTACTAGCGGCTCATCCTTGCTTCGCTCGAGTTCGCCTCTAGGAAAACAAAAACAAACCTATACCACAGGAATCGTATTTTTTCCGGTTATATCCATAACTATCTAGCTTTGTACATATCTATAATCTATCTCTGTGCCAAATTTCATCTGGATCCGTTCAGCCGTTCTGGACTAAAAAAAATCCATACATCCATACTCACAAACTTACACACTTATAATATTAGTATAGAAGTATAGATTTAAATAGAAACAATAATAATAGTCTACAATTTTTGGCTCTTTCTCTTTTTAGGCATGTTAGGCATTAGTCCTTAAATGCCCAATCATTGAACTAAAAGTTGACAATATATTCCATATAATAATATTATTATAATACAAATATTAAGAATTATAATAGGTATTAGATAGAGGCAGTGAAAATTGTAAGTTAGCTGCTGAGCCTGAATAAAGCATATTAAATGGCACTAAACTAAGAAATTTTTTAAAATTAATATCTAATACACAAATATGACACGCAATAATTTTATAATAATTTTATTAATTAATTAATATTGTCATAATAATATTTATTTTAATATCATTTACGTCAAGAGCACTAATTTTGTATTAATATATTTTTAAGTCGTAAAAAAAAACATCTTTTAATTAGAACATAAAATTTATTTTATGAGAGAGACAATTTCGTTATTTATTCAACATTTCTCATTTATGCGTGCGCTTTGGGCAATGAAATATCATTGCTTGTCACTTCATTTTCCCCGGACGTTTTAGAAAAATGTTAATAGAATTATTTTTGGCAGGCCATTTTATCGTCAGTTCTTAAAAAGAATTTGTTAATTAATAATTAAGATATTTTAACTTGACAGGTAATTACGTAAAAACATTTTGTTCTCTTTTTAAATGATGAACTCTCTTTATAAATGACTAAAAATATAATTCTAAATATTAAATTAAAAATTCATTTTCTTAATAGTTAGTATATCTACCATTAAACAGATAAAATATGACTTTTCGTCGAAGAACTTATAATTTTTTTTGCCCCGCACTGAAAATCAAACCTGTGACCCAGTGTAGACCTGAATAATACATATCAAATTAGATATACATACATATATCGAGTTCTTACGATACAGATTCAAATTGTACAGATAAATAATAAGACGCTACACTTCTAACAAAATATTATCATTTTATGTAAAGTTAACATTAGCATACTGAATGGTAAACACTTAAACTGGTATTTCAATGCGACGGAGCTACGTTGTTTTTAGAGAAACATCACGTATGTTAAAGTGCCGTCTACATTTACGTAAACTCAGACTAAACGTATTTCAGAAACTTAAGCCTAATGGTCTTGTCATATACGTCAGCTTTTCGTTTCAGTTTCATTCAATAATAATAATATTACCTGGGCAACCGAGCTTTGCTCGGAGTTTTTGGTCGGTAGTACAATTTTCTTTTTTAAAAAAAAAACTTGAATAAATATTAAAAAAAAATCAAAATTAAATTATAACTTTGTCCGGGATTCGAACCCGGACACCTATGTTTGTCAATCTTGTGTCTTGGCCGCTTGACCATAATCCTTATGCCCGAGCGTACGAAATTATCAACCGTATTTTGCATGGAATAGTGCGAAAGAAAACCTTTAGATTTAGATCGATTTATTGCCCCCGAAACCTCCTGCGTACTAAACTTCGTAAAAATCGTTGGAACCGTTTCCGAGATTTAGAATATATATATACAAGACTCGTTTAAAGATATAAGATATCTATTGTATTTATTTTATATTTTTAGACAAATTAAGGTATCAATTAGAAAGCGAGCCATGCTCTCATGAAATTACGAATGTTAAATAAAAGAAAATGGGAATATATATAGTTTCTGACTCTACATAAACAAAAATAAACTAATTTTTAGGGTGGTATTGAAAGTGATTTTGAATTTGCCAAATATTTGTATTTAAGAAATAAACTATAAAAGGGTCGTGTCGAGACCTCATTAGGCCCTATTCACACTATAGCGGGGCTATACTTTACTTAATACGTTTTTGCTCCGATATTGATTTGGTAAAGTATAAAAATACCGAGAACGGATGTGATCGGCATTATAGTGTGGGACGGCCCTTCCTAAGTCTACACTATCTCTCTATCCGTCCATGTATAAGTTGTATAAAGTATAAGTTGTTATGATGTAAGCGTCAAATTACAACACATATATTTAATATACGGTTGGTAATGTGAATGTATCCAATTAAAAAATACATTACACAAAAAATATTTTGTTATTGGTTTAATTCTAGTACGGCTGATAAGTATAGTCTTATGTAAGAAACTTGACGACGCGTTTGGCTCAGTTTGTAGTGACCCTATTTACTGTGCCAGCCGTCGCGGGTTCGAATCCCGCTGGGGGCTTTCATTTGTGTGTTGATCACGAATGTTTGTACTCCAGTCATGGGTTTTTATTTATAATATGTATGTATTTAAAAGTTATATATGTGTAGTGTATCAACTATCTGGTATCCATAACACAAGCCTCGTAGCTTACCATGGAACTAGATGGTGCTATGTATTTATGTCCCTAAATATTTATTATTACTTATTAAAAAAACTCGTTAATAAAGCAGAAAATCGTTAAAATTTCTAACTAAAATGTATTAAATATTACTTTTTATCTCCATTTACTCACTTGACTTTTACCGTCACGCTAGTAACACGCGTAATATATGACCTTTAATATTTACTTTCAAGCCTTTGATAGTTTAGAACGGTTAAATCAATTTGGGTAATTTTGAATTTCGATGGCTTATTGTACCCTACTTTGTATGCCTATGTCTATATTCTCGGGCGAGGCTTTGTGGTTTATCGAAATCTATGTAAAGGTTGGGTTTATCCATATTACGCTTGTACAGTACGTCCTGACATCTAAATAAGCCTATTTGAGATATGTTCTTTAACCTTATACTCTATTATCTTCGATCATAAATATTTCTTAAACAATCAATACTATATAATAAATGTGCAAGTTTGTGAGTATGGATGTTTGTTATTCTTTCACGCCAGAACGGCTGAACGGATCTGGATGAAATTTGGAACAGAGATAGTTTATAGCCTGGAATAGCACATAGGTTAATTTCTATCCCGGTATGGTTCCCGTGGGATAAATTTGTTTTTGTCTAGGGACGAACCCGAAGTAAAGCGAGGGTGAGTCACTAGTATGAAATATACGTATAAACATAGCTAATTTTATGCAGGTAATGTGTACAATTTGAAAACACAGACTAAGGAATAAGCTACATAACTAAAGGCAAAAAATAATGTTTCAAAATAATAAATAACGTTCTAAAAGTATGTATAAATACTAAAAGTATAATAATTACTATGATAAATAATTAAATGTTAACAAAATGACGAAAAAAATATTAAATCTATTGTGATATCTTTCTCTTAAGGGGAAAAGAACTAATTCTTAAAAAATACAAAATAATATAGTAGGTATTATTTATATTTTTCATTGTTTATCAAATTTTCTTCTCAAAAGTTATAAATTAACTACTAACAACTATATAAGAAATACCTTAATCTTTAAAAAGTAAACGATTTGTATGACAAAATGAAGAAAAGAATGAATGAATGAAATGAAGAAAAGAAGCATGGACGGCAAAAAACTCTACGATTTTTGACACTGACAAGCTTTTTGGCGGGCTCCGTCTATATAGTTTTTTAGTCTAAAATTTTAAATAAGAAACCTTAATATAGAAGTCTAGATAAAGACGAGCTTTATACATATTTTTTAAAAGAGATAATTGTAATTGTTTTCATATTTATTTGTTAGAATTAATTCTAAAAATTATTTCAATAGCAGATAGCTAAATATTATACTTTCTGATTATATTTTCTAGGTATTATTTTGATTTACTAACGTGATCTATACATGTAATAAAATTGTAACTAAGCCGAATCTGTACATTAGATATTTTTTGGAAAATCTTACTGAAATAGACATTATTATCGATATAGAGTCCGAATTTATAGTTTTTAGAATTTTTGTCTGTCTGTTACCGCATCACGGAAAAACCACAGAAGGGATTTTAATGAAATTTGGTATAGTGATAGTTGGTTATCCGTTTCAACATATAGGATACTTTTTACCGCGCGAAAATATCTGTCTCATTTCTGAGAAAAAATACAAAAACTGAATTGTAAGAGTATACCTAAGAAAGTTTTTTTTTGTAATCTGAACGCGGGCGGAGCCGCCGGCAATGCTAGTATACTATAAAAAGTATGAGTAAGGTAATATATGACAATATTATACAAAAGAATATACTTGACAAACATAATAAGCAAAAACAAATATTTGCATAGGTCAATCGGGCTCGGTCTCAGTAAACACGCAGTTAATTTCCCTTAGCTTAGTTCGTCACTAAATGGTATAATTTGTGACAATCTTTACTAGTGATTTTATATAGAATTCCTAGTTATATTATATATTATACGAAGCTCAATTTGTTCTGTATCCACATCATAATATATAATATACATATTAGGTATACATTTTGACTTAATTCAGTAGGAATGAGATACAATATATAAATCTATAAATATAATAAAATTCTAACTGAGCTGAATCTGCATATTAAATATTTTTTGGAAAATTTTATTGACATAGTCATTATTGTCGATATAGAGGTCGAATCTATAGTTTTTAGAATTTGTGTCTGTCTGGGAGAGCATCACGAGAAAACCACTGGACGGATTTTTATGAAATTTGGTATAGGTTGTGATAGCTGGTTATCCGGGTCAACGTATAGGATACTTTTTACTGCGGTAAAATATCTGATCTCTGAGACAGACACTAGATGTTAAAAATTAGGGACGAACCCGAGCAGAGCGAGTGCAATTCGCTTTTAGAGTTATT